AAAATGGAGACTGGTCTAAGCGAGATCGGAAGCACGAAGATGTTCGATGGCTTCAACAAAAGATACAAACATTACAGTCCGACACTAGGATGTTCCATGACTTTCTCTGTCTACTTCCCTCCTTCTTCCTCATCTTCCGGTAAATTCCCTGTAAGTAAATCTTTCCTTCATCTTCACTAGTTTGATCTCAATTTCTTGTTTTGGGTTTCTCCGATTCATATAAAAATTTGATTTTTTTTTTTTCTTCTACTATGTTGATTCGACCTGTCTCAGTTTTACCCTCTTGTCTTCTTCACTAATCTGTTTGATTTCATGTCTCTAAGAAGAAAGCTTTAGTTTTTACATATGATTGTCTTATTGTCTTCTGATCAGAAAAAAAAGAAGATTGTCTTATTGTCTTGTTTTTGTTGGGATGCCAAATTCATGCAATTCGAAAACAAATCAAATCATGTGATTGAGCCCAATTCGTTTTTAAGAAAAATTTATCTGGGCCCAATAGTCATAACCGGCCCAAGATTGAATTAGACCATAGATTATAGCCTCTTGACGGCAACCCTTTTCGGGTCATTTCAAGCTTACCTCAAAATCGCTGTTCGTTTAACGATTCTTCTTCTCCTTGTCTTGGTCGTCTCTGAATCGATTAAGGTAAATGATGCTTCCCGATTCTCTTAGATATTTGTTGTTGTTAGTCGTGTATGCGATTTTTCTTTTTTTGTTTCGGCAAGATCTGTAGATCGCTTCTGCTTCGATGTGTCAATGGATCGTAATTACGTCTTCTCTGAAAAATTCGAAACGATATTCTTCTTAATTGATTAGATCGTCTCCTATCGATTATATCTGGAAATTTGTTTAGTTATTCAGAGGGATGCTTTCTATGAATTGTTTGTGTTATGAATCATTCTTTATAAGAGATTCGTTGGCTTGATTAGGACTGAATTTGCTTTGAAACCTCATTTCAATCCCCCTATAGTACTCTAGATGTGATAATCTGATATATGTTGCTTATCCAAATCCATTCAATTGTTTCTGATATATTCTCATCTTGTAAGCTTGTACTCGCTTTTTTCTTTAATATTAGATTTTGCTGATTCCATCGTGCCCTGATTATGTTTGATCTCTCCATGTACAATGAGATGGTTTATGTTTTAACATCATCATCACTTTCAGGTTAAAGATGTCAAGAGCCACATACATAGTCGGTGCACTTGCAGGATCTGCGGTGATAGCATACGTCTGTGACAAAGTTATTTCTACAGACAAGCTATTCGGAGGCAAGTTTTTATTCCCAAAAAACCTCATTACTTAGCTTCTATCGATGTATAATGAAAAGCTAAATCTTGAACTTGTTTGTTTTAAACACAGGCACTACTCCGGGAACTGTTTCTAACAAGGCATGGTGGGCTGCGACTGAAGAGAGATTCCAAGCGTGGCCAAGAACCGCTGGTCCTCCAGTCGTGATGAACCCAATCAGTCGCCAGAACTTCATCGTCAAGTCACGCTCTGAATAACTTTGAGAGAGTGTGCGTCTCGTTCCGTTCTCATTCGTTATGGATTCATTACGATATTTGCTCTTCTGTTTGATCCTGTGAGGAACGATTGACGAATTTCTCTAGCTGGTTATAGCAATAATTTGTGTTGATGGATACAACATTATTCAGTTCAAGCTTTCCCTGTTGCATAACTTTTTTGTGTAAGGTTGTTGATTATGACAATAAATGAAATCGAGCCAGAAGACTTAACAGCTTCTTTACGTTTTTGCTTTCATGTTGCATTTTTAGCTTTGAGCAAAATTTCAGTTCTGTTTGTTAGATTCGACCTGTCTTAATTTTTCCCTCTTGTCTTCACTAATCTGTTTGATTTCATGTCTCTACGAAGAAAGCTCTTTAGTTTTAACATGGATTTCGTTGAGATGCCAAAATCATGCAATTCGAACCACTGATTTGGCTTTTTGAGACAAATGATTCTCTGTTTTTGTTGATTGACTGCTCCACCATCCTCTTTTTGCTCTATTTTACTTGTTGTTGTCATGATTTTGTTCGCAGCGACAAGTGAACGAACAGGGCTATAGTCAACAAAAGGAGAAGGCCTCAATTGAAAGAATTCACTAAGGTCATTATTGAGTTCCTTGCCTGTGTCTTTGTCAATTTTGACTGTGATGGAGCTCAAAAGATGATGAAAGAGTGTGAGGAGGTAAAGCTGTCTTAACCTCTATTTTTTTTTTTTAACTTGAATGTGGTTGCAGAGCAATGTAGTCAAACTCTGACGTGTTGAAACATAATAGGTGATTGTGAATGATCCCCTTCCTTGGCAAACGAATTGAGGATGGGAACTTTTCAAGGGTACCGCTGAGGGATGAGTTTCTTGAGAATGCCCGTCTATTTATCTTTGAGACCTACTGCAGAATCCACCAGCGAATTGACTTGGCGTAAGTGAGCACGTACAGTTTGTTGTCTCACAGCTACTCTTATGATTCACCGAACATGTATGCAGGAATACAGCTTTCTAATTCTGATTGATCTGTACATTGAAAAAACGAAAAACAATCTAAACGTTCTAATTCTCTTATGATGCAGGCATGAGCAATTGATTAACCACACCAAAGCATTGACTGGACGTACTTACAAGTTAGTTATTCAGCTCTTAGAACATACCCTGGCGCAAGCTGCTCGATGATCATTTTTTGTTCTTCAAGCTAGCCAACCATATTAAACTTTGAATGTATTTTTGCTCTGAATTGACTGTAGTTTCAGAAATTATTCTTTTTCATCTTCACAAGTTTATCTATTAAACTGGACTGCATTCTCAAATATCAGAGTTTTGCTTGAGCTCCCAAAACCATGTCTTTTGATGTAGTAGCATACAGAAGTTTATGGCTCTACATGTTGGTGACCAAATTGGTCAAAACTTCAAAACTAGATTTGTAGGTTTTTCACTTTTTCATTTCTTTGATCTTTTGGATGTGTTACAAAAGGTACAATCCACAATAGCAAACAAACATTTGTTTAGTTACAAAGCGTAATTGGGTCACAACTCACACCTCGCACAAGTCCCCCTTTCACCATTGAAGCAAACACTTCTCTCGTGTATGCAAGTTGGGTATTAGTTGAATTGTAGCAGCCCTTTACACTTCACCAGTTCTCCTGGGAGGAACCAGTGGATCACTATAGCCATGCCACCAAGAATAGTGTGTTACTTTTGCTTACACCACAAAGAATTTTAGCGTTCTACCACCAAGAAGGCGTGTTTCGGTATGACCTCCCGCTGTCCTTCCAGTATCGACTGCTTGGAGTTGTCTGAAATGGAGAGCTACTTGCTTCTGCAGCCTTTCTACTTCTGTAGCTTTCTCTAGATGCCCTTGCTTTTCTAATTTCTTCCTCAAGTTCATAGTCCGACCTCTGTTAAACAAAAACCTTATCAGTAATTCATACACAGCGTTTCAAGGTTTGTCGGCAGAAAAGGCGAAATTTTCTTGCTGAGAGAAAGCAAACCTTAGTTGGGTCAGAAAGAACTGAATATGCCTCTCCAATCATTTTAAAGAGCCTATCTGCACCCTTGTGAACCTCTTCTAATATCTCCTTCAACCATGGTCCTTCACTTTCACTTCTGACAAGAATCTGTGCAGCCTGAATACCACATCAAAGAGGAAACATCAGCAGATGTAAACTAATGATTTGCAACACTTTCAGCAAGTAAAACACAGATCACCTTGTCTGGGTGATGCCTAAGAGCTGCTTTACGGTACGCCTTTTTGATATCAGCAGCAGTGTCAGATGTCTTCACTCCCCTGCAAATTAGCAAAACGAGAATAAAAGATAGCCTTAGTATCAGCATACAATTATACTGGAATTAATTGCATAGAATAAATTCTAGCCTGGTCTCCAATAACATGAATGGTATAATTGACTGCATAAAAGTGAGCATACATGATGAGGAAGAAATCCAGAGGAATGCTCTCTTTAGATTTTTCTTCCATCACAGACAACCGTTGACGGGCCTGCCTTAGTTCTTTCCTGCTGCTTGCACGATCAGCAGATGTATCTGACGTTTTTGTCTTCTCATTATTTTGCTTTACGAGAATGCTGATAAGCCTCTGGAGATCACTTGCTGCTTGATCATAATCTCTGATCATCTCATGTAATGTGGCTCTCCTGGAAACTGCCTGAAATGGAAAGGATAAGTCGGGTTGACTTTTTTTATGGAACCTCATTCCAAGAAATGATGGTTACATGCTGCTTCAGTACCTTACCACATTTCAAGAAAATAGATTATGCATACATTTCAAGAAAACAATACTACTATCTATCTCAGATGTGAGAAAAACTTGGAAGAAGCTCTATATAGCTTGAGAGATATATACAAATTTGTTTGTTCATGAGTAGACAAAAACATTGTTTTTGGAAGATGGGTATTTCACAAATGAATCTTACTACACCTGCCTATAGCAAATCCAATACAAAAGTTCATAAGAATTTTGTTTTAGCACAGAGGAAGGTTCATGTGAGCATGCTCACGAGTTAAAAGAAAATTACAATATACCTTTGTGTAGTTTTCATCAAGAGCCATGGCAAGACTACAGTCAGCAATTGCATCGGCAATCTGGACTAAGGCCTGATTAGCAGCTGCACGATTGCAAAAGCAGATTGCTGCGAAAGGGCGAGAGTCAACATTTTTTGATAGTGCAGCAGTATACTGCTCTACTGCTTCCATGTACTTTCCTGTCCGAACAGCTTCATTACCTGCGTTCTGCAATCACACAAAAAAAAACTCTGTTAAATGTAACCAATGGAAAAAATCATTGTTATTCAGCAAGGAAGCATGATGAAGGATTTTATCAGAACTGTTGATGTTAAAGACACCATTATACTACACAGATATATGAAGAATCCCTTAGTTCCACGATAGAGCATACCTTGTAACGTAAAAGTTCAGAAATGGTGGCCACTAATGAAGATGGTGAGTCACGACACTCGTCCTGATTCCTAGAGAACAAAACTTAGACTTTCAGCAAGGAACACAACTAAAGTTAATACACGCATACCAATAATTTTATTATTGCACAACAAAGACAAAGTGATTACTCATTGCAGCTAGATCCCACTTGCTGTAAATTTTCTAATAAATCCAGGGCTGTCTCAAGGTTTCCCAAGTAGAAGTGCGACTTGGAAATCATATTCCATCTCCAAACTATTAGTGAGTGATGCTTAGACCCTAATAGATCAACATTTGTCATGCCAACAAGCCCTGCTGAAACAAAATTCCTCTCAGCCGTCTGAAGGGTATACTCACAGAGCTCGATCACTTCGTTATAACGCCGGATCTGCAAAATTGACAAGGAAGCTCATGCTCATGAAAAGAGAAATTTAAATGTTGAGAAATGAAAAGGAAAGACAACTTACCATTAACAGGGCCTCCGCCTTCATTTGAAGAAGTTTATCTGAGCATGAACTAATCGACAAGGCATTGGCAATTGAAACCAATGCGTCAGATGCGCCATCCGGTGTTCTCTTCTCCAAAAATACGGATGCACAGTTGGTATAGTCCGCTACCCTCTGCCAGTAAGTAAAATAAAATGTGTTTAATTAGACATTAACAAAACCCTGTGCTGATTCAGCACAGTTTTTGGCCGAATGAACATCCAAAAAATCTACCATATACGACACCCAAACTGATAAAGTATAAAATTATTTTGATCAGACCATTGTAGAACAGTGATCGATATATTCTAGCTGAGGAGAGAATGCATACTTGAGCCTGTTGTAAACCTTCAGCTGATTCTATAGTCATTCGTCGATCCAAGCAAACACTAGAGGCGGATTCCATGCATTTATTAAAATACTGCACTGCTGATCCAAGTTCCCCCAGTACAAGATGACAACTAAAGCAAACATAAAAGAAAATATAAATACATTAAATTCCATTAAATAACATATAATTGATTTTACTAGATAAAGAGTGTGATCGCTATTGTGAAGATATACACTTCCTTGGCCACTTCAAAAAGAAAAAAGGATCTAAAACCTTAGCTGGTGCCAGGAGGAAAGAGATGAAAACATCTAAAACAAGAATGTATTGCTTTCTTAAGCACTGAAGCTATAAAGCTTAAGCCAAAAAGACAAATTGACTCTAGGTGATGCACTGATTTCTGGACATGATCTAAGCTCC